ACAAAAGAGGGAGACGGCTGCTGTGTACCACACTCACGGGCGTTAATCACCACCACCACGACCAGCCCACTACCTGGAGGTCACGGCTCCACCACCATCACCACCCCAGGGGACCCCAAGATGCAGCCCTCTCGGTCGGTCAACATTGGTCTACCCAGGACCCCAGGACGGACGGACCCCCAGTGGACCCCAGGTCGTTCTGCAGACGACCCCAGACGACCCAGTAAAGATGGAAGAGGAGCAACAACGACTCCAGTCTGTCCCACCAACATCGGTCTACCCAGGATGGACCCCAGGACGGACGGACCCCAATGGTCCCCAGGTCGCTTGTCAAAGACCCATGGGAGGAGGAAGAGAGAAGAAAGAAGAGAGAAGAAAGAAGAGAAGGAAGAAGAAGAAGAGAGAAAGAAAGAAGAAAGAAGAAGAAGAAGATAAGACAAGCTGAGTGAGACACGATGCCTCGTGTCCCTTGCTGGTATCAGCATCATTGCATGGAGCGTAATTGCAAGACAGGATCGTTTGCCTTAACTGGCCGCCCCTCCTACAAGCATGTTGCTCTGTTGAGTGATTCTTCCTGTGTCATGCGGACTTGATGTGGCTGTCAGAAGTAGCTCTCTGAAGGAGGCGTGCTGGAGCAACAGGGAGGAAGAAGAGTAGGATGGGATTTCTACTGTTGGCAACTATATGAAGGTCTCGAAACTTGTAGTCCCTATAGCTGTGAAGAACCCCAATATACGTCTCTCATGGTGACTGACGTAGGGCCAATTACAGATCAGCTGGGACAACCGAATTCCACGGTCCTGTGCGCAGTTCAAGTAGTAACGGCTTTCGGGTTGACCAAGGGTTGTTGTGCGTTAACGACGGAGAAGCGACGGAGGCAGTTGTGTTGAAGAAATGTGGTACAGGATTATCTACAAGACCAAGCAGTGACGTCGCCCAGCCAGAGACAATGGACGTCTGTCTACATATTTCATTTTTTAGAGTAGGATGATGTATATTTGTTTAGCTAGGATGTATTCTTTTCGTTAATAAAGTTGTCGCACACAGCTAGCTTGCTTTAGCAGTGTTGCAAAAACTTTATTTTCGGGGAGAAGGGGAGATGTAACACTGTAAAAGTGTTTGGTTTAGGTTAATACATACATAGAGTACATGAGTCACAGACAAGGATCGGAGAGGCGCCAGTTGTCTGCCTGAGATCTCACACCTCTAACCGTTAATGACCCCAAGTGACCTGAGGTCAGATCATGATAATTTCACCTTGCTTCCGCTAAGCGTATAATTGGAGCCGGGTAGCCTTCAAACATGCCGACGTTTAAGGAGTGGCTTGGTAGTGCCGGAGGCTATCTACTTGTGGGCGGAGTTAGCTACTAGGTTCCCCAATATAAACTCGGAGAGCTATCCAGCATGGAGCATTAACAGACAGAGCAGCAGACGAGCCAGGAGAGCAGAGAGAAGACAGCCCTACCAGGGAGGCTGTCGGCCGGCAGGGCGGGAGTCTCTGTCAACTACAGACCCCCCCCCCCTCTCTATTCAACTTAGACTCAGTCCTCGGTGAGTGAACATTAAGGTGACTTGGTCGTGTTTACATATGTTGTGTGATGATCAGGGGCAGTCAAGTTGTAGGGTTCTCGAATTCTTGGATGATGACTCACTTTGCATATTAAACTGGAACATTTTAATTGAATTGCTAAATTATGATACTTCATGTGAAATATAATTATGAATTTATTATTTAAATTGTGTTTAACTTTGTTCCCTAGAGATTTGAGTTGAGGTGAGAAAGCCTCTGTGGTTACTGGTTTCATGATATTAACGAGTACATGTTTGGAGTTGATACATGGTACAGAGGGAACATACTAATAATGAACTCATGATAACATCTTTTGAGAATTTTGTGATACAGGCAAGTTCCATTCCTTGTCTTGTATGTAATGATCATGAATGGATGGTGGCAGCATTTCGTCTTCTACTATCTACTCTTCTACTTCTACTCTCTACTTCTACTTCTACCTATCTACACCTCTCCCTCCACCCCTCTCTAAACTCTCACTTTCAACTAATGACCCTCCTCGCTCCTCCCACCTCTCTACCTCTCACCCCAAACCGTCAATAATTACTTCACTATTCATTTCTTTCCTTTCGTTTTCTCTTATACGTTTGTGGCAATGATTTTGTATTCTAGAGTTCTCTCTAGAGTTTCGGGTAGCTGATCCAGTTACGGCGCCTTGTGGTCTTAGCACCTAGGTAGTCAAATACCTAGGTTACAAGGTGTTGAACGAGAGAGGTTGCCTTAGGAACTCTGGAGGGTGCTCTAGAATAGTTAGCTAACTGGGGACGGGATAACGGACTAGAGAGAGCTGTTTCCCCCGGCCTCGTTAGTTAACTGGGGGGGTGGAATAATGGACAAGATAGAGCTATTTCCCCCACCCCCCGTTACAATTCTTTATGGTACAGATAAGATCCTTCCTAATAAATTGATCAATGTACCTCCTACTTCTTTGTATAACCTAGATTTTGGTCAAGTAAAGATAGACAAATGCAACTAGTTTTCAAAAAAAATACAAGAACACTTGTCCAAAGCAACTGCAGAGTTTACCTGAGTAAGGAGTGCTCAAGCTAAGCCCAGTAATATAACTGTAGAATCTGTAGTAATGGTCCTCAACCAACACAGGTCTAGCCTTATGTACAACTAAGAATTTTTTTAGAGCATACGTCAGGCTGCAAGCAGCCGCGTCCAACAGCCTGGTTGATCAGTCCAGCAACCAGGAGGCCTGGTCGACGACCGGGCCGCGGGGACGCTAAACCCCGGAAGCACCTCAAGGTAACCTCAAGGTAACCTCAAGGTAGGTTCATATAAGGTAATAGAGCTTATCAAGGGTAACAAGTACAAACTTAAGAATTTGTTAACTGGAGAGTTTATAAACGAACATCTAGACCACATGAAGTTAGCTAAAGTTACTGCTGACGAAACTGATGCAGAAGGTGACAATGACCTTATCCAGACAGATTCTTCTATTGGGACACCACCTACTCTGGTTGACAGTCCACTTGACCTAGAACTACCCCCCATGCCAGTATCTATAATCTTAGATCTAGACCTTTAATTTCAACCTTGCACTCACCACATGTCCATTGGCTAATGAGATTGATAACTCACACCTAATCACATGCAGTTTCATCTTTCCTGACCTCCAGTCAGAGCCAGAGTTGCATAGTGCTCTGCATGAATTGGGTATTGATATTCGCAAAATCTATAATTAAATGCATTCTGCAGTTGTTATTCTGGTAACTCCACCTCATGTGTCTCATTATCACTATATAATGCATTGTATACTGTATACTTCTTTCAACTTTGTTTTGTGTCCTAATTCAGATGCATTGTGAAGCTTACTGTGCCATTTGTATTTTTACAGTGCATGTTATCAAGAGTTCCATTACTGTTCTAGCAACCACATTGAAGCCAGTGATTCCTGGCTGCTATCACTAAGATGTTAGCCTTCTCGGCCCAGTCCTTGTAAATAGCTTGTAAATATTGTACATAATTTGTTTTTTATCTTGTTATCTAATTACAAGATTCACTGAGGTTGTTAGGTCATAACTCTTGTTCCATTTATGCAGATAATTGTCTTTATTATTTTCCAAGCACATGCCATTAACACGACAAGATGGTAAGATGTTGATAATTTTGTTTTAGGCAATACTTTGAGTTGTATTGTTCATACCTAATGTATAAGACATGCACATGTTCTTCATGCTCCAGTTGATGCATTGTTACCATGATTTTTTACAGTCAATATTGTTCTAATTTTTGTGCACATGCCAAGCGGTGTTAGTATTATCCACATCTGATCCAATCTTTAATGTTTAATTCTGAAACTTTGCATGTAAGCCAATATTTTTGCCACCAAGGGTCCTTCATTATCATTCTAACTAGCTAGCCAGAGATTGTCGACAAAGGACGTCGACTTGGTAGCATGTCCAAGCGGTGTTAGCCTTTAAATTCTAAGTCGGTTGGTGTATTGCCAATCCTGTGGCCAGTGAGCCTTGATGTCATTCCTCAGAGCAGCGTTGCTTCCTAGTAGGCCTCCCGTACCTCACAGACCTAGATCAGAGCAGGTCCTCAGGACCCTGGTGCGCTGGTTATATATTCTCTACCACAACAATAAAGCCCAAGACGTCAGCCTGTGTATCTCTTCAGACCCAAGCAAGATCCAATCAACCAAATAAAATACAAGACGGAATATATAGAGATGCTGTGATTCCATGTATTGTGTGATCTTACTTCTTAGCACTTTTTCAAAGATTTATATGTGTGATGTTAGTGTTATTGTTCTATAGTTTCTGCCTCTGCTTTATTTCCTCCTTTATGAAGTGGTGGTATCTCTGCTGTTTTAGTATGTCAGGGATAATGCCAGTATCTAGGCTTCGTCTCCAAAGAATGTGAAAGGCCTGTGACAGTGGTTTTTTACAGTTCTTGATGAATATGGCATTCCAAGATTCAGGGCCTTGTGCTGAGTGCATAGCCATACTGTCTCTGGCTGTCTCTGACGTCTGATATATGATTTGATGTTGGCATTGCATCCATTAAAAATTCATTTAGGTTATCAATCTTTAGTGTGTTTAGTGGCTCACTGAAAACAGAGTCGTACTGATTCCTCAGTATTTCGCTCATTTCTTTGTTGTTATCTGTGAATGTTCCATATCCCTTAATGGACAAACCTACATGAAATAATTTTTAGAAAATAAAGGACCTTTAAAACCAATATGAATATTTATGCAAATGAGAAAAATGGAATAATATGTTGACTGATGGTACAGTAATTTTAAAATGAATAAATATAGCCATGCTATATACACCCAAGCTTACACTTAACACTGCAATCCATAATTAAGTCTCCTAAGTGGCTAGTATGAAGCATTATTATATACCGGGGTTAATTTGACCCTCAAACTCACACAACAGCCAGAAAGAGGCACTACAGACTACAAATAAAAACCAGTTAACTCACCCTTAGTAGAAAAGTAGGATGGAAATTTTCACCGAACCTCTTGAATGGGTTCTTGAACCACTCGCTGAAACGAGGACGTTGCTGGATCACGGGAGAACTGGGCGCTGAAGCTGCCCTTATCGGCCACCGAGCCCATTCCAACAGCTCCACACGAAAGGGCTCACCATCCACAGAAGCTGGTCGTACGGGCTGGTCGCTGGCGGAGGTCTCCCTGCCGGACGCCGAGTGTCGCACATAGTGTTGGGCACGAAGGTTGTGGTTGTCTCTGGGCTGCTGGCAGCACTCGGACTTCTGGGGGAACTCTGCTCTTGGACTCCATGCTTCCCGAGCGTTGAGGGGGAATGATGAGTCGGGGATTGTAGTCAACAGCCTGTCATCCACAGCCTCGGCCTCAGGGTTAACCGGAGCAACCTCAATAGTTCTCCAGACTCTCCTGCCATCATCATGGTCGTCGTCGTCCTGGTCATCGTCGGTGTCCTCGTCGTCATCGTCCTCATGATAGTCGTCCTCATAGTCATCATCGTGTCTGTCGTTGTTGCCAATATGTTCGATATCACTCGAGTCGGCGTGTTTGTTGTCATCACCTTTGTGCTTGTCGTCGGGTTTGTTGCTCTCACCTTTGTGCTTGTCATCGGGTTTGTTGCCGTCACCTTTGTGCTTGTCGTCGGGTTTGTTGCCGTCACCTTTGTGCTTGTCATCGGGTTTGTTGCCGTCACCTTTGTGCTTGTCATCGGGTTTGTTGCCGTCACCTTTGTGCTTGTCGTCGGGTTTGTTGCCGTCACCTTTGTGCTTGTCGTCGGGTTTGTTGCCATCACCTTTGTGCTTGTTGTCTGGTTTGTTGCCATCACCTTTGTGCTTGTTGCCATCACCTTTGTGCTTGTCATCATGTTTGTTGCCATCACCTTTGTGCTTGTCATGTTTGTTGCCATCACCTCTGTGCTTGTCGTCGGGTTTGTTGCCGTCACCTTTGTGCTTGTCGTCATGTTTGTTGCCGTCACCTCTGTGCTTGTCGTCGGGTTTGTTGCCGTCACCTTTGTGCTTGTCGTCGGGTTTGTTGTCACCTTTGTGCTTGTCGTCATGTTTGTTGCCATCACCTTTGTGCTTGTCATGTTTGTTGCCATCACCTTTGTGCTTGTTGCCATCACCTTTGTGCTTGTTGTCATGTTTGTTGCCATCACCTTTGTGCTTGTCGTCATGTTTGTTGCCATCACCTTTGTGCTTGTCATCGGGTTTGTTGCCATCACCTTTGTGCTTGTCATGTTTGTTGCCATCACCTTTGTGCTTGTTGTCATGTTTGTTGCCATCACCTTTGTGCTTGTTGTCATGTTTGTTGCCATCACCTTTGTGCTTGTTGTCGGGTTTGTCGTCATCATCTTTGCCATCACCTTTGTGCTTGTCATCGTGTTTGTTGCCATCACCTTTGTGCTTGTCGCCGGGTTTGTTGCCATCACCTTTGTTCTTGTTGTCGGGTTTGTCGTCATCATCTTTGCCATCACCTTTGTGCTTGTCATCGGGTTTGTCGTCGTCACCTTTGTGCTTGTCATCGGGTTTGTTGCCATCACCTTTGTGCTTGTCATCGGGTTTGTAGTCGTCATCTTTGTGCTTGTCGTCGGGTTTGTTGCCGTCACCTTTGTGCTTGTCATCGGGTTTGTTGCCATCACCTTTGTGCTTGTCGTGATTATCGTCGTGACTGTCGCCATCAAGGTCATCTTCGTGGCTGAATGTGGCAAGGTGGAGTATAGTGTGTTGGGGAGCTGTGTGTTGAGCCGAGGTGTGACGAGTCGAAGTGGGACGGGGTGTTGTGGGACGGGCTCCGATTTGATGAGATTCGCTTTGACGTGGTGCCGTGTGTTGTGGTGCCGTGTGTTGTGTAGTTTGACGGGGTGCAGTTTGTTGTGGTGTGGTAAGCTGTGGTGAGGTGTGCCCGGGTGCTGGAGCAGGTGGGCTGTGGTTGGCTGGGGTGGAGGGAGGCGGCCCGTCATGGGCCTGCTGGTTTCCGGTAGTTTGGTTCAGGTCCTGTAGGAGCGTTTGGGCACTGAGCGGAGAGAGGCGGGCAGCACCATCCAGCTTACTCTGCCTGCCTGGTGACCGAGACATATGGTGAACATCCTCACTATACGCTCCTCACTCATTAACCTCATTCACCATCGCCTTCACACAATGTTTCCCATCTCAAGTTACACCATCACTTTTTTTTTAATTTTTTCATTTAAATTTCTTAAATTTTTTCATTCTTAAATTTTCACATTAAATTATATCGCTGTAAATATTCACAAAGTTGAATTAACAAGCAACGAATACAGTAAGAATGACATCATTCTTTTTGAATGACATGAATGACAACATTGTGAGTGTTGGGAAGGTACACACACGTGCAGGGCCACAGTGAGGCAGGGTAGCCAGGTGGTGGGCCACAGTGAGGCAGGGTAGCCAGGTGCAGGGGCCACAGTGAGGCAGGGTAGCCAGGTGCAGGGGCCACAGTGAGGCAGGGTAGCCAGGTGGTGGGCCACAGTGAGGCAGGGTAGCCAGGTGGTGGGCCACAGTGAGGCAGGGTAGCCAGGTGGTGGGCCACAGTAAGGCAGGGTAGCCAGGTGGTGGGCCACAGTGAGGCAGGGTAGCCAGGTGGTGGGCCACAGTGAGGCAGGGTAGCCAGGTGGTGGGCCACAGTGAGGCAGGGTAGCCAGGTGCAGGGGCCACAGTGAGGCAGGGTAGCCAGGTGCAGGGGCCACAGTGAGGCAGGGTAGCCAGGTGGTGGGCCACAGTGAGGCAGGGTAGCCAGGTGCAGGGGCCACAGTGAGGCAGGGTAGCCAGGTGCAGGGGCCACAGTGAGGCAGGGTAGCCAGGTGGTGGGCCACAGTGAGGCAGGGTAGCCAGGTGCAGGGGCCACAGTGAGGCAGGGTAGCCAGGTGGTGGGCCACAGTGAGGCAGGGTAGCCAGGTGGTGGGCCACAGTGAGGCAGGGTAGCCAGGTGGTGGGCCACAGTGAGGCAGGGTAGCCTGGTGCAGGGGCCACAGTGAGGCAGGGTAGCCAGGTGCAGGGGCCACAGTGAGGCAGGGTAGCCAGGTGGTGGGCCACAGTGAGGCAGGGTAGCCAGGTGCAGGGGCCACAGTGAGGCAGGGTAGCCAGGTGCAGGGGCCACAGTGAGGCAGGGTAGCCAGGTGGTGGGCCACAGTGAGGCAGGGTAGCCAGGTGCAGGGGCCACAGTGAGGCAGGGTAGCCAGGTGGTGGGCCACAGTGAGGCAGGGTAGCCAGGTGGTGGGCCACAGTGAGGCAGGGTAGCCAGGTGGTGGGCCACAGTGAGGCAGGGTAGCCTGGTGCAGGGGCCACAGTGAGGCAGGGTAGCCAGGTGCAGGGGCCACAGTGAGGCAGGGTAGCCAGGTGGTGGGCCACAGTGAGGCAGGGTAGCCAGGTGCAGGGGCCACAGTGAGGCAGGGTAGCCAGGTGCAGGGGCCACAGTGAGGCAGGGTAGCCAGGTGGTGGGCCACAGTGAGGCAGGGTAGCCAGGTGCAGGGGCCACAGTGAGGCAGGGTAGCCAGGTGGTGGGCCACAGTGAGGCAGGGTAGCCAGGTGGTGGGCCACAGTGAGGCAGGGTAGCCAGGTTTAGGGGCCACAGTGAGGCAGGGTAGCCCGGTTTAGGGGCCACAGGGAGGCAGAATTACCCAATTGGGTTAGGTTAGGTTACCCAATTAAATCCTTAGGAAAAACACGAGTTAACAGGAAGAGATCTAGCCAAAGAGCTGCATGAAGAAATGTATCGTCTTGGTTGACACTTAAGATATTGGAAGAATCAACGTTGTGTGTGTATGGATAACGTTATACACTGTAGGTTCCGTCAATATTATTGTAATAATTCATATTCGTCTATTAACTCTGCCCTCCCAGACATACACCTCCATTCTCGCATATTCTTAAGACGTCTGGCATTATTCTCGAATCATCTTCAGCCGAGTCTCACACAGTTGCCACTTTCTTATAGTTGCTTGCCACACACTCCACACATCTGGCACAGGAGCCCCGCTCCTGTGCCAGTTAAGTCCACTACGGGCTCACCATAGCCCGTGCTACTTGCCCCGCTCCTGTGCCAGATAAGTCCACTACGGGCTCACCATAGCCCATGCTACTTGCCCCGCTCCTGTGCCAGGTAAGTCCACTACGGGCTCACCATAGCCCGTGCTACTTGCCCCACTCCTGTGCCGGGTAAGTCCACTACGGGCTCACCATAGCCCGTGCTACTTGCCCCGCTCCTGTGCCAGGTAAGTCCACTACGGGCTCGCCATAGCCCGTGCTACTTGCCCCGCTTCTGTGCCAGGTAAGTCCACTACGGGCTCACCATAGCCCGTGCTACTTGCCCCACTCCTGTGGCAGGTAAGTCCACTACGGGCTCATCATAGCCCGTGCTACTTGCCCCGCTCCTGTGCCAGGTAAGTCCACTACGGGATCACCATAGCCCGTGCTACTTGCCCCGCTCCTGTGCCAGGTAAGTCCACTACGGGCTCACCATAGCCCGTGCTACTTGCCCCGCTCCTGTGCCAGGTAAGTCCACTACGGGCTCACCATAGCCCGTGCTACTTGCCCCGCTCCTGTGGCAGGTAAGTCCACTACGGGCTCGCCATAGCCCGTGCTACTTGCCCCGCTTCTGTGCCAGGTAAGTCCACTACGGGCTCGCCATAGCCCGTGCTACTTGCCCCGCTCCTGTGCCAGGTAAGTCCACTACGGGCTCACCATAGCCCGTGCTACTTGCCCCGCTCCTGTGCCAGGTAAGTCCACTACGGGCTCACCATAGCCCGTGCTACTTGCCCCGCTCCTGTGCCAGGTAAGTCCACTACGGGCTCACCATAGCCCGTGCTACTTGCCCCGCTCCTGTGCCAGGTAAGTCCACTACGGGCTCACCATAGCCCGTACTACTTGCCCCGCTCCTGTGCCAGGTAAGTCCACTACGGGCTCACCATAGCCCGTGCTACTTGCCCCGCTTCTGTGCCAGGTAAGTCCACTACGGGCTCACCATAGCCCGTGCTACTTGCCCCGCTCCTGTGCCAGGTAAGTCCACTACGGGCTCACCATAGCCCGTGCTACTTGCCCCGCTCCTGTGCCAGGTAAGTCCACTACGGGCTCACCATAGCCCGTGCTACTTGCCCCGCTCCTGTGCCAGGTAAGTCCACTACGGGCTCACCATAGCCCGTGCTACTTGCCCCGCTCCTGTGCCAGGTAAGTCCACTACGGGATCACCATAGCCCGTGCTACTTGCACCGCTCCTGTGCCAGGTAAGTCCACTACGGGCTCACCATAGCCCGTGCTACTTGCCCCGCTCCTGTGCCAGGTAAGTCCACTACGGGCTCACCATAGCCCGTGCTACTTGCCCCGCTCCTGTGCCAGGTAAGTCCACTACGGGCTCACCATAGCCCGTGCTACTTGCCCCGCTCCTGTGCCAGGTAAGTCCACTACGGGCTCACCATAACCCGTGCTACTTGTATATTTTTGCTGAGCAGCTGAATCTAAAACACCGAACAACGAGATGATCCACAAAATACGAAACACGTCACTCCCTGGAGCCACGCCCTGCAGTGATTATCCTTAACAAACGAATAGTTACTTTTCCTGAGTGCCAGTGTTGATAATTACTCCTCGCCATAACAAGTTGGGTGATCACTTAAGGCAATATAGTGACGGGGTAACTCTTAAAAGACAGCGTAGCAGAGACCCCGCGCGCGACTTCTCTCTCGCAATCACCCGCACTACAGGAGTTATCTGGAGTAAATGACTCGAGTCCTCCTTACGGTACGCGGGTAAAACCAGCTCGCGGCGGTTGTCCGCGACCTGGACCCCAAACAAAAGGTTGCTTCCGTCTGACATTTGGCTCAGAGTTGTGGTAGCACCACCACCACTGGCTCAGAGTTGTGGTAGCATCACCACCACCACTGGTTCAGAGTTGTGGTAGCATCACCACCACCACTGGCTCAGAGTTGTGGTAGCATCACCACCACCACTGGCTCAGAGTTGTGGTAGCATCACCACCACCACCACCACCACCACTGGCTCAGTTGTGGTAGCATCACCACCACCACCACCACCACTGGCTCAGTTGTGGTAGCATCATCACCACCACCACCACCACCACCACCACTGGCTCTACCTTACCCAACATGATGTCCGTGCTCCCTACTCGCCTAGTTGTGCTTGCGGGGGTTGAGCTTCGGCTCTTTGGTCCCGCCTCTCAACTGTCAATCTTGTAACTGGTGTACAGGTTCCTGAGCCTACTGGGCTCTATCATATCTACATTTGTAACTGTGTATGGAGTCAGCCTCCACCACATCACTCCCTAATGCATTCCATTTGTTAACTACTCTGACACTGAAAAAAGTCTTTCAGATGTGTCTGACTCATTTGGGTACTAAGCTTCCACCTGTGTCCCCTTGTTAGTGTTCCACTAAGGCTAAATAATTTGTCTTTGCAAATCCTGTCGATTCCTTTGAGAATTTTGTAGGTGGTGATCATGTTTGCCCTAGCTCTTGTCTTTCAGAGACGTGAGACTCCCCACGCCAGTGTTGGAACCTCTCTACACCACGACACAATTACAAGTGTGGACATCTTGCTCTATAATTCTCGCTATGGTTATCTTGAGATGATTCTTGAGGTTATATTGAGATGATTTCGGGGCTTTAGTGTCCCCGCGGCCCGGTCCTCGACCAAGGCCTCCACCCCCAGGAAGCAGCCCGTGACAGCTGACTAACACCCAGGTACCTATTTTACTGCTAGGTAACAGGATCCAGGTAACATGGATCATTTGGTCGGGAAATTCAATCCAGGCGGATCAATGAATATTCATTGTTCGCATACCTGGAGCATACCTGGAGCATACCTGGAGAGGGTTCTGGGAGTTCTTCTACTCCCCAAGGCCTCAGGCTTTACTTGTGATAACTTGGTCCAACAGGCTGTTGCTTGGAGCGACCCGCAGGCCCACATATCCACTACAGCCTGGTTGGTCCGGCACTTCTTTCAAGAACTTATCTAAGTTCCTCTTGTATACATCCACCTTTGTTCCAGCAATATTTCTAATGCTTGCTGGGAGGGCATAGCTCCTCGGCACAAGAGGAGTAGTA